CCAGTCTTATTATATGGAAGCGAAGTTTGGTCGCTTACAACAAACCAAGAGCGTAGAATAACAAGCTTTTACACGAGATGTTTACGTACAATCATAGGAATAAACTTAGGCGATAGAATGTCAAATGAGACACTACTAGAAGTCACTGGCTAACCACCGATCGAAGACATCATGCGTAGAAACCGGTTAAGGTGATTTGGCCACGTGAACAGAGCTGTAAACGATGACAACGAAGCATCCCTAATTAAAAAGACCATGTTTTCATACTTTCATGATGAAAAAAGGCCTCATAGTATTGGAATACGAAAAAGATGGGAGGATACAGTTATGCTCGATATTGAAGCACTTCAAATTAGAAATTGGAAAAGTCTAACTCAGGATAGAGATAGATGGCGAACAGCAATTAACAGAAATGTACAATCTAAGGCAGTGCATAACAACATCAAAGAAATTGTATTTGAATATAAACAATGAGCAGTGAAACGGAAAGCAAAAGAACGTGCAGAAACACAGGGAGTGGTACAACGAAAAGTTACAGAAATGTTAATGAAAGACAACCATAATCACTGCAAATGTCCTGGTTGTGTTAAAAAGTATAAACCTCAAGGTATCACGAACCACGTAAAAGCGTGTATTCAAGCAAGAGATTGGTGTAACAAGAACAAAATTGGATAACAAAGCAGCAAATTGTAGAACAGTTATTGGAACTGGAACTGAGAGAACAAGGATGGCTATTATTTAAACTGGTTTACCAAAGGGTAATAGCCTGATGGATTTACCGTGGCTCCTATTTCGATAGCGATCATCTGAACACTCATCGACAATATAAAAACACTGACATTTTTTTCGTTCTTTTTGTTTTTAATTTCTTTTTTATGTGTTTGTGTATATTTTTTTGTTTCTCACCCTACACTGGAAACGGTAAACGGATCTATAATAATAATAATAATAATATTTTACATTATTCGTATATATTTATTGGAAATATTTCATGACTGAGATACAAATTGCAATTTGGTATATTTTAGTTTATCTGACAAAGCAACATGTCTTCAACAAGTTTCAGTTCGGATTCAGTGATTGGTGATGATGTTATTGGTTCTAATGCTACACTTGTTAGGGATGCCGAGATTGAAGAACTTGAAAATCTTTTACCATTAAATGTGAAAAACGCTTGTCATCCTCATTTGAATCATATTTCATTGAACAAGAATCGATTTTATAATTCATTTAGTTATTTGTGTACTATGATTAGCAGAAAATAGATGATACATTAAATAATTTTCGTTTTCATTATTTTCATGACGACGAAAAGAATCATCACAAAGACAGGCTAATTCGTTATAATCACGACTAAGAAGATTTTCTTTTAGTAAGGCGAATATCGGTCTGAAGAAAAAACATTTTTATTTGATTGTGCCATTGAAAAGTAGAGTTAGTCGGAAATTTTCGAGAATCTATCGAGATGAATTCCTGAGGAAGGCTAAAGTTTCTATTAACTCTTTTTTTTTAATCGCAGATTTTAAATGACAGAAAATCTGAAAAGGATCTTAATAAGTTATTAAAGTTCGATAAGTCCTAGAGAAAGCGGTAAACATCCCACCAAATCCAGCAAGTTTCCATCGTTCGAATTTCGAAGAGATTCCTATCGAATTCTGCAGAATCCAATAGGAATCAATAGAATATCTAGAGAATACAATTCGGTCTGACTATTGAACTGATTGATCTGGTTACAGAAATCAACATACGCATCTCATCTTTTAATAGTATCGAACTGAAGAAAAACGCGTTCCCCACTCCAGAGAACTTCACTCAATGTGGCCTAACAAGACATCTCATAAGTTTCTTATATGATGGTCTAAGGAAAATTTCTTTCTTATTGATACATTTTGTAAATATGTTTTTTGTTGTTCAATATTATTTTTTATTATATAAATAGTTTTGTTAAGCAATTAATTAATTAATTAATTAATCTGATTTTTGTACAGTCTCTATTTGATTATCTAAGCCATAGATATATATACTTCTAATTGTCTATGTTTAGCTCAAGAGAAATTTTTTCATCATGCTCGTAATCACAATGAGCTTTCAGTTGAGCAAATAAAATATCAATTACTGTTTGAGAAAATTGTGAATTTAATTGTATATATGTGGAATTCAAAGTCGTTTGTTCATCAATAATTTGTAATAATGAAATTTTAATTTCCATTGTTTTAGAATTCTTTTACAACAAGTGTATATAATAAAGTACAGTCAAAGACAAAAGTTTAAACGAAAATGGATTTTTGATTTTTTCTATAATAACAAGCATGTAACTGAAATCCAAATAGTGATTCGGATAGCCAACGAAGAGCTTAATTAAATGCATCCTATAACAAAACTTCATAGATGATTTAAGGTAGCAAGGTTTCTAGAAAACTCCAAACCGTATTTTTCAGGTCTCAGAAAACGTTGCAATAGTTCGTTTCTAACAGTACCAACTTAAAGAACACAAAATTTTGAAGAAAATGGCGGGTCGTCGCCTTTCCTACGACTTTCCTTTCAAAAGTTATAAGCATTACAAAAATCGAAAAAATACGATTTTTTTTATGGTTTCTTGATAAATTTCACTTTTTTTCCAGTTTTTGTAATGCTTATAACTTTTGAAAGGAAAGTCGTAGGAAAGGCGACGACCCTTCATTTTCTTCAGAATTTTGTCTTTTTTAATTTGGTACTGTCAGAAACGAATTATTGCAAAGTTTTCTGAGACCTGAAAAATACGGTTTTGGGTTTTCTAGAAACCTTGCTACCTTAAATCATCTATGAAGTTTTGTTATAGGATGCATTTTATAGAGCTCTTCATAGGCTATCCGAATCACTATTTGGATTTCAGTTACATGCTTGTTATTATAGAAAAAATCAAAAATACATTTTCGTTTAAACTTTTGTCTTTGACTGCAGTTGAAGTTGTTGCGGACGTTTTAAATGAACATCACAATAAATTTCAATCCAAATAGATTGTTTTTATCAAAGGATTTTGTCATAAATTAAGTCAATAACATGTATCATTTAATTTTGTTAATACTAATTTAATATTACGTTGATGTAATACATAATAAGGCATATCAAATGATGATTGAGATTTATAATTAACTAGCATTGCATCGAATTTTTTCACTTTTAAACAACTGAAAAAAATTTATTCATGGTTCACCAATTAATTCAGCAAAAAACTCTAAGTTTCAATTTACAAATATTTGATAAAAATTAAATCTTTTTCTTACATCTAAAAATAAGACTCGATTCGTAACAATAGCATCTCAAGTAAATATTAAACTTCGAATAACATCAGGTAATTTACATTGCTATAGTAAAGCTTTTCGTATATGTTCAAGAAATAAATCTTGAATGACAAAATTATCTTGATTATTTGTTAAATAACGATTTTCAAGAGTTTTTAATAAAGATAAATTTTGTTCAATAAAAACAAGAAATTGATCAAATTGATCTATAACATATTGAATATAATATTTCCCCATATATTTTATTACGATCAAACTGCGACGCAGTTACGCGCAACTGCGATTTTTTTTTATCGTAGTTACGCGTAGTTACGGTAGAAAATCACAATTACGCGTAACGGCGTCGTAGTTTTTCAAAACATTGACTACTATTGACAAGCAACTATCGAATCAAAATAGCTAGTAAAAGTGATTTCGTTTCTTATTCTGTATTTATTACATGTTTCTTTATTAATACAAAAAACTGCATTAGTTATATACGTGTTCATGTGGAAAAATGCAAACAAATAGATAAAAGAAAAGTTCATTGTGATACATATTTAACAGTTTAGAAGCAAAAGAAATAAAAAAAATAACCTAAGTCAAGGATTATATATGAATGAGAATAAAACTTAGTTTGTTCTACATGTGCAGTTGAAGACGTTTACAGAAAAAAATAAATAATTCAAGTATTGATTGGCTGACTTATTGATTCATTTTTTCTCTTTTGTGAGCTTATTGTTCGACTCTTGGTCAATATGACATTGTGAAGCCAAATCCACATAGTTTCAAGTTCTTCTTTTGTTAATCGAAATTTATTTCGAACTGCTTCTGCAAGATATTGGCCGGGAACATAAAATTAAATAAGTAAATATATAAAAACCTTTAAGTAAAATATATCGTTCATCTTTCGATATATTTTTGGTTTCTATACTCAATAGTTCTTCAGGTTTAAAAAGGGTATCCATAAGAGATGTTACGTAACGATTGGCATGTTCTTTAACACCAGCTTTTTGAAGTAAATCAATAGTGGAACCATCAGGTAGTTTATATTCCTGCATAAAAAAAAAACTTGAAGATGAACATTTTCATTGTATACATTTAGTGCACTTATCATACCACAGAAGATCGAAAAGTGTGATTGATAGTCGATTCATCATTGTCATCTGGTTCAAGTAGTGAAATGTTCATCTACAGTAAACAAGTAAAGAAAGAACTATAAAATGAATAACCAATTACCTTTTATTTTCGTAACACATTTTGAATCTTTTTTTGATTATTGAACAATTTCTTTGTCAATGTTTCGATCCGTTCATGTGTGACAAGAATCGGCTTCAAATATTGAGATTCAAGTTTATTTGTAAAAGCCAATAATTGTTGTGTAACTGAAGATGATACTTTAGCTGATTCGTTTTTACTTTTTTTATTATTTTGTGGAACAGAACAGCCGAGAAATATAGGTGTTTGCTCTGTTGATGGTTGATTTGTATGAATATTATGTTCACTGTTATCAAGTTGTTCGTTTTCACTATCATTTGAGTCACTGTCTGTGTTATCAAATTTACCAAATGATACAGTTGATGATGTTTCATTGTGAGATTGTTTATGTCGTTTGCGCTTCAAATTGTACGTGTTTTTGTGATGGCTTTTGCTCAACTCTTGTACACCTCGAGACGTTGATAAACAATTTTCACCTAATAATGTTATTGTTGGTAATTCAAGTGGAATATTATCGTGAATATTAATGGCTAAATTAAAACAGGCTCCATTTTAGAAAAAGTCACTTGGGAAAAACTTACGTAAATTTTTGTTTAGCGATTGAGCAGAACTAGCATTAGCTTCTGATGAAAAAAAAATACAATTATTTGAATTAAAAATGAAAAATGTCTGACCTATCTGAATGTTCAGTCGATGCTATAATTGTAGATGCTATAAGTTGTTCAGTATTAGAACTTTGTTCTACAAAATATTTAATTAAAAATGCAAAATATCCTTTGTTTCAATAAATTTACCTCTAAAAGGAACACTTCTTAACGTAGATATTGTCGTTGTAGTTGCTATAATAAATGAGTGAAGTAAAAGAAAATATAAAATGATAATAATGTTTTTTCTATTGTTATGTTGCTTTAATTGATTTTCATCGAGATTTCGTTCATAATCACTTTCGATTTCAGGATTGACAGCCTTTTTAGTCAATCAATCGGCAGCTTCACTACATTGTAACAAAGTGCCTACCAAGATAAATAAATAGATCAATGTATGTGATTCAAGGCATATTAATTGTCTGTTGATTTAAACGATGCAAGCAAATGTACTGTTATGACAAACTACTATTTATGATTTAATTGTTTCTACTAAATTTTGCAATCGTTCAAATATAAACAACAGGACTATACAAAAATTCAAGTGATAAGACTGATGACGAATAATTAGGCTAGCCTTGACAGCAGTTGCACCAATATATGTTTTCAGAGCATTTAGATCAACATATTTAAAAAAAATCTCATTTGGAAGCATTTTTACCTTCTTCGAGAATGACTCCCATCAATTTCTTCTTGCCACTTTGAACTAAAACAAAACCATCATGTTCAGCTGGAGAGCATTGTTTCGCTTTAACAACTGCAGTGGAATTGTCGGATGAAAATATAACAAAGTTGTATATTATATTTTCTGTATTCGTTCGTCGATTGAGATAATGTTTAGCATAGGTGTTTGCTGTACTCACTATCTTATAAACAAATAATCTAGAATATAAAAATTGAAAATAATGCAATCGCTATTAAAATAGACGGAAGGAACTATTTAAATGTGAGAGAGAAAGTTTTATGTTCAATAAGTATCTAAATTGTAATCGAACATTTAACAATTGAAAGTTTCCGTCATCACAAAATAAATAAAAAAAAGCACGATGAACTTTTATACACGCAATGTAGAAAAATGTGGCAGTTATGACCATTAGACATAAGATAATCCAATTACAACATTTCACAATCTCGTAATTGGATTACTTTTGTATGTATAATTGTAAATGTAATCTCTTTATTCTACAACAGTATACAAAAGTTCATCCTGATGTCCATTTTATCATTTCGTGATGATAACAATTTTGAATTGTCGCAAGCTGAAAATAGAGTTTAGAAATTTGCTAAAAGTAAAAAAATATTCTTTTTTAGAGTTTGACATTCATGTTGATTTTTCTAAATAGAACATTAAAAAATTAATAACAAAACTAGAATAACCTGATTTTTTTGTAAAAATTGATTATTAGCCGTGTTCGTAATCAATGCGTATTTCTGATAAACAACAATATCCGTCAAATCGAATATTTACACACTTATGTATTATTGTTTCGACTGGAATAAGCAAAAATACGTCGGATAGTTGTAATAATGGAAACAATTCATTTGCGTTAGATTGTAATGATAATGGAATATCTACATAATCGGTAATAAATCTTGTACTTAATGTATACTTCTGTAGAAGAGCAAACAAATGTAAGCCTTTTTTCACGAAAACAACAATATTGCCATAATGTACGACTTTGCTCATAGAATCACAAAATGAAACAATATAACTTTGGCATTTGAATGGTTTATCATAAATAATTGTATGATATGTTACGAAAATGTTTGTAAGGCGTAGATAGAAATTGCATGAGTTAGGATCAAATGTATACATTGCTAGCAGTTCATTGAGGATCATTCGGTACGAACCAAGTTGATCATCTACCCACTTGATTCCCTAAAATGGTGCTTGAGGGTGTGGGTGTGGGTGAGAGTGTGTGGGTGTGACTATGGTGTGGGTGGGTGTGGGTGCGGGTGCGGGTGCGGGTGCGGGTGTCAGTATGGGTGTGGGTCTGTGTGGATGTAGAATACGGAGTGTGGGTATTTATCTTTTCATCGCCACACCCCACCCACACTCACACCTCATTCACCCACACCCACCCTTCAAAATAACAACAATGTGACATCAAATTGTGAAGCACGTGTTGATCAACAACGATCTTCGAATATTCAACCACAGAGTGATTCGTACGCAAGATCAAGTAAGTAAGGCCTTCAAGATTCATTGAAATATAAATAGAATATCAAAAAAAGTTTCATGAGTGGTTTACACTCGTGAATTGTAAGCGTATTCTCTTGAAGTTTGATGGTAAAATTTTTATTCTAATCAAAATAATTTATTTCATTATTAGAGGGATATATTATTATCAGTATAAGTATGCCCAGGTCAAACAGGCACGGTCGTAAACGACCGTATACGTAGGAATACGACAAAATACATGGTCCAGTGTTACGGTCGTATATCCCCGCGTCGTATACGGAGAAATACGGTCATATACGGAGAGAAAAACGGTCGTTTACGGCCGTTGTACACAGATTTCTTACAGAATCTCCGTTTTGCCCCGTATTTACCCGTATACGATCGTATTTGTCCGTATGCGGTCACGACAATATACGACCCTAATACTGGACCATGTAAAACCCTAAAATACGACCGTTTATGGTCGTAAATGTAGCGTATACGGTCGTTTACAGCCGTATACGAAGTCCGTAATCGTCGACCTGGGTATGCTAATTCCTAACTATTCTGTGCCAAAATGTGAGCCTCTTGACTCTTACTCTCACAAGAATACAAGTAATGTAATATTCCATAGAAAACTTCGGGCTGTTTTCGAATATTTTCATTACTTATTTGCTTGTGTTCAACAAAACAGTTGCGCATGAAAAGAGCTTGATAAATGAAGCGTTTCAAATAAAATAATCATAATGTTCTAAAGGATGTTTCATAAGTTTCGACCACCTTTTTGTTTTTTGCCTATCTTTGTCATATTCAATCGTGGATAGCTATTGAATATAGATTTTTGAAGAGCAATATCTAAGCTATCAATCACAAAAAAATATATTTAATTAGCATGAATAATACGAGAGAACCATATCGATAAAAATTTTGAAAAATTTTCGTTATATGCGCTTTTTGTTTTTTGTCTATCCGGATTAAAATTTAATCAGCTCAAATGATAGATCATCATTAGAAGCCTCTAAATCCAAAATATCAGCTCTTTCTGACATATCTGTGAAAAATGGCGAACCCTACAAGTGTCACTACTCTTCACCCTTAGTCGAAAAATGAAGGTTTTTAGGGGGCTGCTAGTATTTTGCGATTTTCTCTGTGTTGGCTCATTCGTTTGAAGATGCAGAATTCGTTTTTCTACAAAATTGAGTAACTCATTAATTTCTACAACACATTTTACTGATTGACATTGTCAATATACGGGCAAAAATGACTATTGGCTAATAATCATATTTTCTTGTATTTTCACTCTAACCACACTGGATCCTGCTGGCCCAAAAAAAAAATATTTTCTGGCTGTCCGTGAGATTCTGCATCGTTTAAGGTATTACTTCAGAATACGAAAACTCTGGTAGCAAAAGTTAGCCAATAGCACAAATGTAAACAGGTGATGGTCATCTTCGTTCATTTTGGTCCATAATCGGTCACTATATATTCTAGACTTTTCTCAATTAAAAATCTGATTTCAGATTCATGATCAGTATCAAAAATTGACCATAAGAGTGTTATTTGATAGAATATAAAGTCAAAAAACTCTGTCGGATACAGATAGCTTGAGTATACTACAAAGCATATATTTATAGACATTCTTGAAACTCTGTAGTTTTTCGTTAGAAGAT